AAACCAGTTGCTGTTGAGTTGATTCCAACTCATGGGTCCCCATGTATGGAGAGTAGAACTGCTCTATAAGGTTTTCAAGGCTGTGACCTTTCAGAAGCAGATCACCAGGCCTTTCTTCCATGGCACCTCTGGGTGGGTTCAAACTGCCAACCTTTCAGTTAGTAGTCGATCACCTAACTGTTCGCACGACCCAGGGATGCTGCCTTGTTCTCTGCCTTCTCCTTTGCACATTTTGCCTCTGTGTAGACAAGTTAAAAAAAAAAAAAGGTCCTGTTCCTTTTGCCTCTGGCAATAAAGCACCTATTTTTAACTAGAAAGGGCAGAGCCCCTCCCCCCCGCTGCGTCTGGGGCATTCCAAAGTCTTGCCCTGAGCTGACTGAGCTGTTCCGAGGCCACCAGTACCTTCTCTCTGGCTCCCCCCTCCTGTGTTGGGAGCCAGGGCTCCTGCCCTGCAGATCTCCCAGCAACGGCCAGCTCCAGGCCACACTGGACTGTAGCAGTTCCCCTGGGAGAGTGGCAACCTCCTCACCCACGAGATACCTCCCCTGTCCATGCAACCTCATATCATAGCCTGTGGCCCGTGGGATTTCTCTAAAAGAAATTCTTTTCCCTGTCCATTTACCTCCCAGTTCTATTCAGCTCATTTCTCTGAGCCTTATTTTTCTATCTATACAAAAGGGATGTTCAATTATTCATCTGAAATGGCCCTTTCAAGCCCAAAGTAATCTCAGTACCGGTCCTGTTAGCTTCATGATCATCATTGTTGGTAAGGTGGGGAGCTCCCCTTTAAAGCGTGCCCAGTTCTAGTGTTAATTCTTTTCTTTACCAGAAACTGTGTGATACGGAAGCCAAAAACGGAATCTGAAGTGGTACAGAGCTGAGATTTACGCGCAGGCAACTTGACCTCAAAGTCCAGACTCTTCCCTGCCCCTTCTGAATGGGTGAGTGAACACCTGACCAGCCAGACTTGATCTTTGTGGAATTGAGTAGAAGTCAGATTTGGAAAGCAACCTAGAATAAACAAGGCAAGTGAACTATGTCGTCACTGATCTGTTCCAGAGAAAGGTGCCCCAAGCAATTCTCCTGTGAGACTTGGTGAAAATGCAGCCTTCAGTGTGGGCGCTCACCTTCTCAACCAGCCCAGCTAGGCCCAAGCCAGCTGCCTTCCCGTGGGTGGAGCTCTGCCTCTCTTCCTCCCAGCACAAGTGACAGACACTCCTGCGGGGCTCCCTGCCCTCCCTCTGGCTCCTCTCTGGGAATCTGCCTGTTGCCAGCTGCAAAGCGGGGCAGGAGTTCATGGCAAGGTCAACACACACCCAGCAATTCATTCTTCCCCCTAACCGCCAGGCCGGTCTCTAACAATGGTAGCTCTGCGCAGTCAGACTTCAAAGCTTGGTTTCCCTGGACCAGGGGGCCTGGCTGGGCTGCCTCGGAATCCGGAAAAGCAACAGAACTGTAGAAGCCGGGAAATCAAAAGGTAGGCGCAGGAAAGGCTTCCTCGCGGGCAAGAAGCTAGAGGACGATGATTCTTTGGGTCTCGGTAAAATAGCATCTCAGCTGGACTTGGGACCCTGCACTGAGGGGGACGGCACCCCTCCATCCACACACAGGAGGAAATGCAAGCACCATGCCTGCCCTTTGCCCCGCCTTCTCGTCTTTCCAGGGCGCACGCAGTGTTCCTTCCGCAACTCGGGGAAACC